CCAGAAGCCCGAAGAAGGTGAGAGGATGAGGTCGAAAAGGGAGAAGGGAACGAAGGCGGGTCAGGCGCGCGATACCTTCGGGCTCGATCGTCGGCCTCAGCGAAGGGTAGAGGGGCGGTGCCGGTGAAGCTCGGGCTGGGCTCGGCTCGACTGATCTCCGCAGCGAGCGCTCCTCCTTCTAGAACATTCGAGAAGCCAGCAGAAGGTTAGGCGAGAGCACGGGGTTGAAGGAAGAGAAGAGAAATGGAGGGGATTAAGCTAAACCCTGCTTGCCTGCGTGTTGCGGGGTGAGGAAGACGGAGCCGAGCCAGCGTGCCAAATGCCGGTGCTCCGGTTTATATGCGCCTCGGCCTCGGCGCGGCGATCACCGAAACGACGACCTACGCTGACAGGTGGGCCTCGCTATTTTTCTTTCTTTCTTGCGGCTTCCTTCTTCCTCCACGGCGAAGGGAGCACGCGCGGCGGGGCGGGGCGGGGCGACTAGCCGAGCAGGTGGGGAGCTTACTCAGAGGGGCTGACGGGTGGGCTCCACTATTCAAACTCGTCTTCCAAGTTCCAAGTCTAGCTGGCTAGGACGACTGGACGAGTACTTAGGATTCGGACGATGGTCGATGGCCCACCACCACCCGTCCCAGTCCCAATCCCAATCCGGTCCCAATCCCAAACCCTAACCTCAAGTGGGTCACGCTCGCGGCGGCGGCGGCGGCTCGCCGGGGTCCGAGCCTCCGAGGGTGCGGCCCCGTCGTGGAGACGGCCTAACCGTTCGCAGCGCGGCGTGGTACCTGACCCTGCCCCCCGCCTCACCGGTCACGCCGCCGCACGCGGGCCACCGTCGCGCCGGGTCTTCACCGCCCCACATGGCCCGTTCAGTTCCAGCCGGTTTTCGCCGCTCTCGGCAGCGGTGGTTCTTACCCTTTTCTGTTGTTAGCTCTGCCTGGTTCAGGCCTTGTGTAGTACTAATAACCTAAACCTACTACTATTTGTCTTAGGTGACCTGGTCATATGCTAGTTGCCTATTGAGCGCGCGTGCTTTGCTGCTTCCGTGTGCTCCTCTCCCAAGGTCGAGGTACTTGGATGAGTGAGTGAGTTCATTGGCTTCCCCTTCAACTGTCCGATCTCTGTCCGTCGTGACCCGCAAGTATCTAAGTTTCATAGCAGGTAACTTTCTGTGTGCCAATTGCTCAAGCTCTTGTGATGGTTAGAATGATACCCCAGAAGATCCACTTGCTTGCATTTTAGAAATGGAGAATACATGCTTTAACTTGTGAAAGTGATTTAGTTGCCGCTTTGGATCGACATATTATTAAAAAAAACTTCTGGATATGCTAGATAGATAAATTGCTTGAGATCGACGACAGGTTTGTTCTGACCAGCGCTTACCCATTAGTATTTTGGCTCCTAAGGATTATGGTCATTGCTGGCACAATTTTCCTGCATTTGGTGGTTTGGCTTTGTTAACCGTTGTTGATTTCTTACTCGAATCATGCTCTTGATTATGTAGTTGCCAGTCTAAGATGCACCGTGCCCTTATGTGCTTCAGTATTAATCGTTATTTCCTTGGGGAGTGTGATCTCCTGCT